GTGAGGGGAAGGGGGGGAGGAGGGTGGGGTTGTCTTTGTGTAAAATAGAAACATGGTTTTGTACAGAAATAAACTTGTGTAGAGAACTGGTGTGCAGCTGGGAGCTGGAAAGGGGTGCCCCCCGGGGGCTCAACATCTCATCTCCATGGCCTATAGACCCCCCACGCACTTCCCGTCCCCAGCTCAGTTCGAGGACCTTCTGAAGAGGACCTGGTAGGAATCCTGATCCAGGGTCAGCTCCTGTTTATGGCCCCGTTGTTGCTTACCTCATCCGCCTCTGCCGCATCTCTGCCCTCTATGGATCGAGGGTCCCAGGGCTGGAGCCCAGGGAGGGGCTGTGTGGATGTATGCCCCGGGCCTTGATCGCTACCCACCCATCGCTGAGAGTAAGTGGCCCCTTAACGATGTCTCATGAGGGTCTTCCTTCTCCAAAGCCTGGCCTAGATGCCATTTAGGATGCCAGGAATTCTCATTTTTTATTTGGTTTGGTTTGGTTTTGGGCCACACTCAGCGATGCTTAGGGGTTATTCCTGGATTTATGCTCAGGGTTCACCCTGGCAATGCTCGGGGAGACCATATGGGATGATGGGGATCGAATCTTGGTCAGCTGTGTGCAGACAAGTGCCTTATCTCCTGTACTATTTCTCTGGCCCCCTTAATTTATTAATTTATTTATTTTCTTTCTTTTTTTTTTTTTTTTTTGCTTTTTAGGTCATACCCAGCAATGCTCAGGGGTAGTCCTAGCACTCAGGAATTACTCCTGGCAGTGCGGGGGGACCATATGGGATGCAGGGGATTGAACCCAAGTTGGCCACGTGCAAGGCAAACACTCTACCCGCTGTACTATCGCTCTGGCCCCTTAATTTCTTTTTTTTAAAATTAATTTTACTATCAGTATTGTAGTTAAGGTGACATGTTTTATAATCACTGTATCACTGTCATCCCGTTGTTCCTTGATTTACCCGAGCGGGAGCCAGTAACGTCTCTATTCCTCCCAGCCTGAGATTTTAGCAGCCTCTCCTTACTCATCTTTCCCAACGATTGGAGGCTCTTTCAGGGTTAGGGGAATGAGACCTGCTATTGTTACTGTTTTTGGCATATCGAATATGCCACGGGGAGCTTGCCAGGCTCTGCCTGTGCAGGCAGGATACTCTTGGTATCTTGCCGGGCTCTCCAAGAGGTGTGTGTATATATATATATATATATATATATATATATATATTTTTGTTGCCTACTGTCTGAACCCCATTAAATATGGTGTGGTAATTATGGAAAATGGGTAGGAAGTGTTTAATGTGTCGTGCAGCCGCAAAGCGGCCACGCGGTCCAGAAAGTGGCCTGGAGTGTGGTGGCGGTTGGCTAGTGGAGGCCAGGGCTGGGTCCCTTGGGTTGTGGAGGGCTCTCACCCGCCCCACTCTGGGGCGTCCCAAGTGAAAACAGCCTGGCCCAGAGTTCGCACGGAGTCTGCTTCTCCCCCTGACTCCTTGGTAGTTGGCTAGTGGGAGACCCTCAACTCTGATCCTTCGCTTTCTCCTGTCCTCGAATCCAGCAAGTCTTCATCATGCATGAGTGCATCTCCATCCACACTGGCCAAGCTGGTATAATAGTGTTAATTTTTTTTTTTTTACTTTTTGGGTCACACCCAGTGATGCTCAGGGGTTACTCCTGAGTCATGCACTCAGGAATTACTCCTGGTGGTGCTGGGGGGACCATATGGGATGCTGGGATTGAACCCAGGTTGGCCACGTGCAAGGCAAACACCCTACCCTCTGTGCTATCGCTCCGGCCCCAATAGTGTTAATGTTTATGGGTTGCTGTTGTTGTTGGCTTTTTGGGTCACACCCAGCATGCTCGGGGTTACTCCTGGCTCTGCACTCAGAAACTACCATATGGGATGCGCAAATACCCTCCTCGCTGTACTATCATTCCAGCCCTATTTATAGTCTTGATGTAGTTACTACACCTCACCATCACCCATGTGCCCAGGGCACCACTGTCCTTAGGCTACTTCTCCCCACCTCCTCCCCCAGTGCTTGGTAATCTCAGTTTTGTAATCCAAGGTCAAGGGTTTGTCGTCACTAGTTACTCAGTAAGGTTCTGAGGGCACATTCTGGGTAAGGTCCTGGTGCCGAGGGTGGGGAGACACAAATGACCCCGCGTGCTCAGTCAGATCTCCACCGGAGGCAAAAGAGGGGCCAGGGGTAGAGTTTGTGCCTCTCTCCTTTTGTTTTATTTCAGGGCCACACCTCAAAGTGTCCTACTCCTAGCTCTGTGCTTGGGGGTCCATTCCCAGTGCTGTTTGGAGGACCATGCAGTGCTGGGGATCCAATCCAGGCTTCTGCGTGCAAAGCCTGTGCTCCCCGCATTGCACTATTTCTGGGGCCTAGAAGTCTGATCTCTGACAAACGGCCTCTTGCTAGTGACTGAACCCTGTGGCAGGCTGGCTGGTGCCTGATCAGATAGAATCTGTTATTCCCATTTTACAGATGAGCAAACAGAGTGGTGAGTGAAAAAAGAAGAAACTGGTCCAGATTTATACCCAGAGCACTGTATCTCTCTCTCCTGAGCAGGGTGCCAGATGACCCGACTCTACTACGGGGGATCAGGACCCAGGCCAGTGCTGTGGTCATAACCTGATGACTGGCAAGGGCGAGGACAGGGTGTCCCTGAGAGAGGCCCCCCTCTGCTGAGGAAGCGGCTTTTCCAGTCAAACAATAGCGGCTGTTCCTGGCAGGCCACCAAGCTGGGCTGGGCCATGGGGGGAGTGGGAGGGGGAGGTTGAGCGCCTCCCAGGGAGCTTTCAGGCATCCCAGGGCCTCAGCCCAGAACATCTTGTCCTGGTTCAGCCAGGGATACTGAGACCTGGGAGGGTCAGGGGTCACATAAGCCTTTCAGGGCAGGCCACCCACTTCCTGCCTCTTATCCCTCATCCCTGTGGTTTTCCATCCCGTCTGTGTGAGCCGTCAGTGCCATCTGAGGAACTGTCTTTGAGGACATTCCCCTTGTGGCCTTGCAGGGGACAGGCCAAGATGTGTAGTGTCCCCTGGGAGCCCACGAGACCAGGAAGAGACTTGGGGTCTGGCTTCCATCTGTCTACAGTGAGGCTCCCCAGCCGGCTGGAGACCTGTGCAGGCCTGCTGGGTCCCATGCTTTAACCTGCATGGTTCAGAGCGTCAGATCTTGAGGCCCAGGGATGCAGGGGACAAATAAGCCCCCCCACCCCCCAGCATGCTCAGTCCTGTTACTGGACCAGCCCAGTGTACTGGTGCCTCCTTCGCCATGGGGTCTTAGACCAGAGAAGGCCTGATCTGAATCCAGTCCGGACACTGAAATATGCCCGAGGGTTCTAATAATTCTAATAAACCTCATAGCTGGGGTGCCTGCCAGTGCTGGAGGCCTCCTTTGACTTGAAGCAAATTTGTCTCTTAAAATTTTGTTATTCTTGGGGCTGGAGAGAGAGCACAACGGGTAGGGCGTTTGCCTTGCACGCAACTGACCCGGGTTTGATTCCCAGCATCCCATATGGTCCCCTGAGCACGGTCAGGAGTAATTCCTGAGTGCAGAGCCAGGAGTAACCCCTGTGCATTACCAGGTGTGACCCAAAAAGCAAAAAAAAAAAAAAAAAAAAGAAAAAATTATTCTTCAAAATTATTTGGTTCGAGGTCACACCCAGCAGTGCTCAGGACTGTGCTCAGGGATCACTCCTGGTGGGCTCAGGGGACCATACACAGTGCCAGGGATCAAACCCAGGCCAGCCATGTGCAAGGCAAGTACCCTTCCCCGCTGTACAATCTTTCCAACCCCCAGGCCTGAGGCAAATTTGGATGTGCTCAGGAAAACTGGATTCTGCTAGTGGCTGTTCATTTAGGATGACCTGAGTAGGGTTCAGGCCTCAAGTGAGCACCAGTTGCATGGGCCTGTCCCCAAACGTCTGAGCTCTGGGCACTTCTGGCACAAGCACTTTTGGGATTGGTTAGAATGAAGGGTGAGGCCTAAAATCTGGCTATGGCCCTGCTCAGGACTTACTCCTGGCTCTGCGCTTTCGGGGGTAGGGTGGGGGGGGTACGATATGGGATGGGATGCTGAGGAACGAACCCAGATCGGCCTCGTGCAAGGCTAGCACCCTACCCACTGTACTATTTATCGCTCTGGCCCCAGGACTAGGAATTTTGTCACCATCGCCTCTGCCCGCCCTCGTGGCCATGCTCTATGCTGAGAGGAAGGAGGGAGAAAGATGCCAGGGCACTTGGCTGGGACCAACCACAGGCTCGCCCAGCCTGCCCGCTGCACCCTCACCCCACTGGCCCTTCCATGCTTCAACGATGAGAAATCTTTTTAAAAAGCCCACCGGGGGGCTGGAGCAATAGCACAGCAGGTAGGGCGTTTTCTTTGCACACGGCCTATCTGGGTTTGATTCCCAGCATCCCATATGGTCCCCTGAGCACTGCCAGGGGTGATTCCTGAGTGCAGAGCCAGGAGTAACCCCTGTGCATCGCCAGGTGTGACCCAAGAAGGGAAAAAAAAAGTGCACCGGGGAGGGGGCTGGAGCGATAGCACAGCGGGTAGGGCGTTTGCCTTGCACGCAGCCGACCCGGGTTCGATTCCCAGCATCCCATATGGTCCCCTGAGCACCGCCAGGAGTAACTCCCGAGTGCAGAGCCAGGAGTAACCCCTGTGCATCGCCGGGTGTGATCCAAAAAGCAAAAAGAAAAAGAAAAAAAAGCCCACCGGGGAGCTGCAAGCGCTGAAGCCACCCAAAGGCCCCGCGAGCCCCACAGCCCGGCGCCGCGACCGACGGAAAGGGCGGGGTCGGGCGAGGGGGCGCGGCAGGGGCGGGGCTCGGAGGCTTGGGGAGCGCCGCGAGCCAGTGATTCCGGAGCCGGCCGGGGGCGGGGCTCGGCGGACCGAAAGGACCCGCGAGCGGCCCGGGGCGCCCGGAGGGGGCGTGGCCGGCGCGGATAGGCCGCGGCCCGCAGGGCGTGCCCGGGGAGCGGGTCGGCGGCGTAGCGGGCGGCGTGGGTTTGCAGCCGCGCGCGCCGCGTCTCCCTCGCGCCCCCCCGGCGCCGCCCCCACCGTCCCGCCCCCGGCGCGGCCTGGGTCCGGCTGGCCGCGGGGTCCGGGAGGCGCGCGCCGCGATGGAGCTGCACATCCTAGAGCACCGGGTGCGGGTCCTGAGCCTCGCCCGCCCGGGTCTCTGGCTCTACACCCACCCGCTCATCAAGCTGCTCTTCCTGCCCCGCCGCAGCCGGTGCGCGCTCGGGTTCGGGGGTGCGCGCCTGGGGTGGGCTCGGCGGGGGCTCCGGGACAGGTTCGGGCGGTTGGGTCGCCGCGGCCGAGCGGGAGCGGGCGGGGAGGGCCCTGCGTCTCCGGCCGCCATCCGGCCTCGCCTGCCCTCCCCGGGACCGCCGCCTATCCGGCCCCGGCAGGCCCCTTCCCGGGGCGGCGAGGGCGCCAACAGCCCGGCGCGGCCCGCGCTTAACCCCGAGCGGTGCCAGCTGCGGGCCCTGCTCCCGGGCACCGGGGGGAGCTGGCTGCGCGCCGCGCGCCGGCCCCCAGGTCTGGCCGCTGGGGGCGCAGGGTCCGCCGCCCCTTGGGCTGTCCCCCGCGTGCGAGCCGCTCCCCTCTCCTGGAACGGAGGGGCGGGGGGCCCCCGCGGCCCAGAGGCGGAAAGCAGAGGTGGAGCCCACACCCAGCTCGCTGCCCGGGGCGAGGACCGAGGGCGGAGGGGGACAGAAGCCCCCGCCGGGCACGGCTTCCCGGAGGGGAGGGGGAAAGAGCAACGTCCACCCCACCCCCACCCCGCCCGTCCCAGGCTGAAGTGCGCCCCCGCCCCTAACCAGGTGCAAGTTCTTCAGCCTGACGGAGACCCCCGAGGATTACACGCTCATGGTGGACGAGGAGGGCTTCAAAGGTGGGGGCTGGGCTGGGGAGGGGGCGCAAGGGAACGCCCTTCTTTGGGGTTCTCTGCAGGGGCCGGGACCCGGGTCCCAAGAGCTCCCGCCTCGAAAGCAGATGGGTCTGGGTTCCAGTTCAGCTGCACCTTCTTCTGGCTGTGCGCCCATAACACTTCCCCACCTCTGAACTGTTTGTTTCCTCTTATGTAAAGTGGATCCAGCTCTGGTTCTGATCCCCCCCCCCCCCATAAACAGGGCTGTGAAGGGCCCCGAGCAGGACCGAGTGTCAGGACCGAGTTCCTGTGGCCACTGTAGCCCGCGGGCCATTCTTTCCCCCGCCCAGCGTGGGTCACACCCTGGCCACCGGTCTGCAAACTCCAGGAGGCTGAGGGTTGCAGAAGGAATGCAGACGCCGGCGGCCAGCCCGGGGCGGGTTCTGGGGGGCCAGCAGCAGCCACCCTGGCCCGGCGCCCTGTTCTGGACTAGATGCTGGAACTGACACATCTCCCCACCCTGCAATCCGAGCTGTGTCTACCCTCTCCTGGCGGTTCGAGTGAAGCCTTAGTTTCCCCGTTTGTACGGGAGGCAAGTCTAGGTCTGCTGCGGGGCTGGGCAGTCCCCCGCCAAGCCTGTGTGCTGGCGCCCCCTGGCGGGAGATGCCTCTTAATCCACGTCCCCTCCGGTGAATGATAAACGGAGACTTCAGTGCCCTGTGCCCGTGCCCCGCTCCAGCCAGGTGCTCCACGAGGGAGTGGTGAAGCCGGGGTTTGGGCCCCGGGCTCCAGCTCCGACTCTCAAGCCCCTGTCTTAACAGGGGAGTTGGAGTCCCTGGCAGGCCACCAGAGCTTGGGGGGAGACCAGCCCCCGTTTCCAGACCAGCCCTGGGTCGAGCCCTGCACAGCATCCGGCGGGGACCAGCCCTGCGGTACCTGACGGGCCCTGCGCCCCTGCCCTGCCTGCAGAGCTGCCCGCGTCCGAGTTCCTGCAAGTGGCCGAGGCCACTTGGCTGGTGCTGAACGTGTCGTCCCCCAGTGGCGCGGCTGTGCAGGCTGCTGGGGTCACCAAGATTGCCCGCTCCGTCATCGCGCCGCTGGCCGAGCACCACGTGTCTGTGCTGATGCTGTCCACGTACCAGACGGACTTCATCCTGGTGCGTTGCCCATGGGCGCTGGCGGAAAGGTAGGGGCTGGGGGGCGTGGGGGCGCGTCCTCCACCGACTTCTCCCTGTGGTGCAGGTGCGTGAGCAGGACCTGTCTGTGGTCATCCACACCCTGGCCGGGGAGTTCGACATTTACCGAGAAGTGGGCGGGGAGCCCGTGGCCATCACCAGAGACGATTCCAGCAATGGCTTTCCCCGGGCACAGCATGGTGAGGGTCCCCTGCACCCCAACACCCAAACCTGAGCAGGGCCCGCCTTCCCTGGTGTGTGTGGGTCCTGTGTGCTGGGGAGACCAACCTGGGCAGGGCCGCCTTGTCCCACCAGGGCCCTTCCCTGGTGTGTGTGGGTCCTGTTTGCTGGGGAGACCAGTGCGATTCCCAGGGAGAAGGGACGCGTCTGGGAGGCGGGTCGGGAGGCAGGACCGAGCCCTAAACTAAGTCTGGGCTTCTCCCTGGTCGGCCACCAGGGGGCGCCCAAGCCCCAGCTACGCCCGGTCTTCACTGCCCCCTCCCTCCCCAGCAGGCCCCAGCCCCACGGTGCACCCCATCCAGAGCCCACAGAACCGCTTCTGTGTCCTCACACTGGACCCCGAGACACTGCCAGCCATTGCCACCACCCTCATTGATGTCCTCTTCTACTCGCACAGGTGAGCCTTGTTCCCTCCTCTCCTCCCCTCTGCGGTCCCCTGCTTCTGCAGCTCTCGCCTCTTCTGTCTCTTGGGGTTCTGAGCTCTGCTGAGGTTCGGGAAGCTTCTGCTGTCCCCTCCTGTGATCAGAGCCACCCCTAAGCCACGCCCTCGCTGGCCCCCGCGCCCTTGGTTCTGGGGTTCTGCATCTTTGGCACAGCCTGGGCTTGTCTGCTATACCCGCCCATCCCCGTGAGAGATCCTGGGGCCTTGGACAGCTGAGAGAAGTAGCTCAGAGATACTCCCGGGGGGCTGACTGGGGAAAGAAGGACGGGGGCTGGCGGGGGGAGGCTGGGCTGGTCCTGGCAGCACCCTCCCCTCTCTTCCTAGTGCCCCCAAAGACGTAGCTGCGGGTGGGCCCGGGCCCAGCTCCATCACATTCTTCGCCTTCTCCCTCATCGAGGGCTACATCTCCATCGTCATGGATGCCGAGACGCAGAAGAAGTACGGGCACCCGCGGGAGCCTGGGGCAGGCGGTGGCCCTCGGCCAGCCCCGGGAGGGAAGGGCGGGTGCCAGGCGTTGGGGTTGCCAGGGCACACAGTGGGGCAGGGAGGGTCCAGAAGAGCCCTATCCCCAGCCTGTCTCCCCAGGTTCCCCAGTGACCTCCTGCTGACCAGTTCCTCAGGCGAGCTGTGGCGGATGGTACGCATTGGCGGCCAGCCCCTGGGCTTTGGTGAGGACAGCGCCTTGTGTGTCGGGAACCGGGGCGGGGGAGGGTGCGTGTCGTGGGGTGCATGATAAACTTCATGGGCCCCCTTCGGGGCTGGAGCGGTAGCACAGTGGGTAGGGAGTTTGCCTTTAATGCGGTTGACCCGGGTTCGATTCCCAGCATTCCATATGGTCCCCTGAGCACTGCCAGGAGTAATTTTTGAGAGCAGTAATTTTTGAGAGTAACCTCTGCGCCTGGCCGGGTGTGACCCAAAAAGCAAAAATAAATAAAAAATAAATACAACAAGTTCATGGGCCCCCTCCTCGGGGCCAGAATGATAATGGGCGGGGGGGAGCTTGCCTTGCATGCAGCCTGCTCAGGTTCAATCCCGGGCACCCTCTATGGTCCCCTGAGCCCTCTCAGGAGTAACCCCTGTGTACCACCAGGTGTGACCCCAGAACAACGCCCTCCCCGCCCAAAAGAAACAAAAAACAAAAAAAACCATGTCCCTCCTCACTCCTCAGATGAATGCGGGATCGTGGCCCAGATTGCGGGGCCCCTGGCCGCGGCTGACATCTCTGCCTACTACATCAGCACCTTCAACTTCGACCATGCCCTGGTGAGGGCCATGGACTGGGCAGGAGGTGGGGGGTGAGGGACATCCGGAGGGACACTGATGGGGTGTGTGGGGTGGGGATCAGGATCAGGGAGTTGGTGGGTGGCTTCAGCCCTGCCCTCTCTGCCCACGTGTCCGCAGGTGCCCGAGGACGGCATTGGCAGCGTCATTGAGGTGCTGCAGAGGCGACAGGACGGCCTGGGCTCCTGAGGCCGCCGCCGTGTAGGGCCCTCCCCTCGCCCCTTGGCTTCCAGAGACTTCTCTAAGCTACTTCCTCAAGCTCTGGGAGTAAAGCCTCTACTTGCCCCCCCCAGTTCCCACCAGGGGCCCCTTTTGATCTGCTCTCTTGTATGTAAGCTGCATGCAGACACCCGTTCTCATGTGGGGACACATGTGTCTGCCCACACAGGGGAACACGGTGCTCCGGGCTTCCGCGTGCTTCCGCGTGGAGGCCCCTACCCACCACTCCCAGAGGCCTCGGCGTTTGCACATTCCCTGCCTGAGGCCTGAGCCACTGCCCTCCCTTCCTTTCTCAGCCCGGGCCAGCTGCTCAGGACAGGGCCCTATCTCCGTTCTGCCTCCGGCTGGGGGACCTTCCCTAGCCGAATGAGTTCTGACAGTGCCTGCCCCCCGTGTGGGGCATCCAGCAGAAGTGTTTGTGCATCTCCTTTTTTTATCAACAGGTAATAAAGGGCTTATTACGACTCGCCTGTGGTTCTAGGGGCACTGCCTGGGAGGCTCGTACAGGCTCGGCTCTCACCTCACGCACCAGTTTCCAGATGGGGAAGCAAAAAGCTTGGAGAGTTAAAATGATGGGGGGGGGAGGGGGCTGGAGCATAGCACAGCGGGTAGGGTGTTTGCGTTGCATGTGGCTGACTCGGGTTCGATTCCCAGTATCCCATATGGTCCCCCGAGCACCACCAGGAGTAACTCCTGAGTGCAGAGTGAGGAGTAACCTCTGTGCATCGCCGGGTGTGACCCAAAGAGCAAAAAAATAAAATGCTGGTGGGGCTGGAGCATTAGTACAGCAGGGCGGGTGTTTGCCTTGCACATGGCTGACCCAGGCTTGATTCCTGGCACCCTATAGAATCCCCCAAGCACTGTCAGGTGTGATTCCTGGATGCAGAGCTAGGAGTAACCCCTGAGCACTTCCAGATGTCACACTAAAACTGAAAAAAAAGTGATGAGCCAGCCAGGAACCCATCTTGGGCTGCTGAGCCCTGGAGTCGAGGTTCCTAACCTTCTCCAGATTTCTGGAATATCCTAGAAGGGACTGAATGTGCAGAGTCCTAGACCCTCCTGGCTGGGCCCACCTCCCCTGCCACCTCGGCCAAGGCCAGCTCCATTTCAAAACACCCTCAGAGGGAGCCCCACGCACCATCCTTCCAAGCTGTTCCCTGTTTGTTTTTATTCTTTCTCAGGGGGAGTGCCACGCCCAAAGGTCCTCAGGGCTCGCTTGGCAGTGCTCTGGGGACCCTCTGCAGTGCTGTGGTCAAACTCAGGTCTGCGGCATGCAAGGCAAGTGCCCAGCCCGCTGTAGCTCTGTTGCTGGATTCCCTGAGGGTCTTGCCTGTGCATGTCTGTCCCTCACACCGGGCCCTGCTGGCCAAGCCGTGGGTCAGGTCTGGCCACCAGCTCTCAGAGGAGCGCAGACTCAGAGCCAGAAGGACTTTTCCTGGGCCGGGGGGGCACCTTCCCGCTCCTGAAGGCTGGGGTCCCAATGGGGCCCCACACTTGCACCGGGAGGTTATCAGAGGCCCTCAGTCCAGCCCCGCCCGCGCTCCGAAGGGAAGAAGGGTGTGACTTCGGCGTACTCGGGTCTCCCGGGCTCCTCAGAAAAGCCAGAACGGGCCCAGCATCTGGCAGTGCGCCCGCCCTGCCCTGAGGCTCCCGAGGGCAGCTCTGAAGGGAGCAGCACCTCAGGCCTGGTGAGTCAGCACTCGGGGTCCCGGGACGCCCCCTCCCCTGGACATGGGAGGCAGTTCCTCTCGGGCAGAGTACCGTGGTCCTGCAGAGGGCCCGATGCTCGGTACTTTGGGGTGAGGTGGGTGGTGGGAGTTCTGCTTTCTTGCCCTGGGGACACTCTTGGGACCCTGACCGGAAGGCTGCCCTGGGTCTGCAGCCCCCAAGGCTCATTGTCGCTTGGCTGCAGCTGGCCTGTCCTGACCTCCCGCACCCATCCGGGCTGCTGTGATCATCCAGCCGCAAGTGCCTGTCAGGTCCTCAGACCACCTTGTAAATCTGGCATTGGCTGGTTCTGGGGCTGCCCTGGACCCAGGCCTGGGTAGGGACCCCAGGATGCCTTTAGGGCTGACCTCCAGCCCCAGCATGCTGGCGTGTCTGGCTGGGTGCAGGGGTCCTTAAACTGGTTAGAAACCCCCTAGACGGGTCATGAACCCAAACCAGGACTGAGGGCAGAGGGTGCGGGAGCATCTAGGGGACACTCAGCCGTGAAGGGGAGGTGACCCTGGGCTTTGGCTATAACGAGGGTGGATGTTTTGGGGGGCATGAGACAGGTGGGCCTTGAGCTGCTTCCGGCTCTGGTGGGAGTCATCTTCCCATCCTCCCCAGCCCCCCGGAGTGTCTTACAGCTAAGGAAGCTCATGGGGGCCCCCTCAGGCTGGGGTGGGGCTCAGGGACACTCACTGATGTGCTGCGCCACCCTTGACCTCCCAGCCTAGGGACGTGCCCCCACCACCACCTCCCCAACCCACATCCTAGAGCCGCTCCTAAGTGCTCCGAGGAGACAGGCTGTGGCTGAGGAGGGTCCCGCCCGTGCCCCCCTGGGCCTGGGAAGCCGTGTCCAGCACCAGGTCAGGACAAGGAAACACCGGCAGGGAGAGTCCAGCCCATTTCCACCGTCTTGGTCTCCTGCCCAGGGAGGAAGTGACAGCCTGAAGTCCTTACAGTGCCCCAGTGGGAACTTGGGGGGGTCCCTACGGTAGCTGAGCAGGAACTTGGGGGTCCCCTACAGTATCCGAGCAGAGACTTGGGAGGTCCCTATGGTATCTGAGCAGGAGTTTGGGGGTCCCTATGGTATTCGAGCAGGAACTTGGAGGTCCCTACGGTGTTTGAGCAGGGACTTGAGGGTCCCTACAGTATCTGAGCAGGAGCTTGGGGGTCCCTCAGGTCCCTGAGCAGGGCTCAGAGGTCTGAATCCTCATCCCCGCCCGGCCCAGGCAGAGTTGCGTGTGTGCTCCCCATGCTTGTTCAATCGCTCCCATCTCTTTGGTCTCCTGAGAGCGGAATAAACTGTGGGGCCATCCAGGGGGCCCCTGGGGGAGCTGGGGTTGGGGGGCCGGGGGGACAGGATCCACCTGGCGCGCAGGAAGCCAGTGGGAGGCCAGAGGGCAGCTCAGGTTCTCAGCACCAGGAAGCTGCTTCCTCTTCTGAAGGTTGGGGGGCTGAGGGGGGGAGGGGTGCAGGTCATGCTTTTGCGTGTTCGCAATGGTTCTGAAGAGAAATGGGGTACAGAGAAGGGACTTGCCCCTGGCTCCCCAGCCGAGTGTGGCAGCAGCAGACTTCAGAAAGGTGAAGAGGCCCCAGAGCCCTGGGGACAGGAAATCTCCCCGAGGGATGGACACTTTCGCTGACCCCTGCGGGAGGGAGGGTTTTGCAAGCTCCCCAGCCGGCCATCCAGCTGTCTGCGTGGGTGACTGGGTGTCTGCCGGTGACAGCGCGTGCGGGGGAGGCACGCGAGCCCGGGCTGGCTCCTCCCTGACCCTGGGCCGGGCCGGATGGGCAGATTGGGCAATGGCCGTGGTTTCCGTCTCACTTTCCCAGGCAGGGGCCACCGCTGGGATTCCAGAGTCCAGTGGCCTCGGCTGTGGGGGGCTGCCCAGGGCCTCCTTCCCGGATGGTCAGGCTCAGGGCCTGTCCACACATGGATACCCCCCTGGGAGGTGTGTGTGTGTGTGTGTGTGTGTGTGTGTGTGTGTGTGTGTGTGTGTGTCTGTGTCTGTGTCTGTGTCTGTGTCCGCCGGGCGGGGTCTCTGTGCGGGGGTCTGTCTGGGTGTCTGTGTCCCTGTCTGACTCCGTAGGGAGTCTGTCTGGCTCCTGTCTGCGTGTCCTGCCGGGCCTGGGGCTGGGCCTGGCTGCCTGGCAGCGTCTGTTAAGGTCTGTGTGCGTACCCCCTTCCGTTTCATGTTCCCAGTGTCCCAAGCTTACTTGGCCTGTGGCCCCCTTGTCAGAAAAAAAGGCACTTTGTGCCCCCAGAACCAGGACATTTATCATCCATTTTGTTTGTTTTGGAACCACACCTGGCAAGCTCTGGGGGCTCTTCCCAGTTCAGTGCTCAGGGGCCACGCCCGGTCAGGGGATTGAATCTAAGCCCCCTACATGCAAAACATCTTCAGCCCAGGAGCTCCCTGGCCCTAGGACCATATGCAGGATTGGCGATTCTGACTGGTCAGCAGCCAAAGCCTTGACCTCTGTAATGTCTCTCTGTGCCCCTCCCCACATCCCCCTTGCCCCCGCGTCATCTATCATGTTTGTTTGTTTGGGGGCCTCACTCAGCGATGCTCAGGGCTTACTCCTGGCTCGTACACCTGGCGAGGTTCAGGGTACCAGGTGGGGGGCTGGGAATAGAACCCGGGTCAGGTGCATGAGAGGCAAGAGCCTTATTTGTTGTACCATCTCTCCGGCTCGTTTGGGGTCCCATGTCTTTCAGTGAGCAAACAGCATCCCCCAGTCACACCAGAGGCCACTGTCTGCCCCTGCCATTGTCCCGTCATCCCCAACCCCAGCTGGGCCCGTGTCACCCACCTCAGGACGCACTGGTGTAGCCTGTCTCCGGAGACCCAGGGACCTTCAGCCTTCTGACTCGGACACACCTCTCAGGCTGCCCCCCTGCAAGGCTGGGGTGCCCCCCTCAACCCCACCTCTCTGCCCCCCACCTATGCCTCCTCCCTGCCCCCTGAAGTCTTTCTTCTTTCCTCTGCCCACTCTGCAGTCCTTCCTATCACCCCCTCTCCCTCTGTTCCTCCCTCTTTCTCTCTCCCATCCTCTCTTCCTCCTCTCTTCCTTTCGTTCTCTCCCTCTCTCTTTCCCTCTTTTTCTCTTTCCCTCTTTTTCTCTCCCTCTCTCTTTCCCTCTCTCTCTTGTTGTCTGTCTCTGTCTCTCTGTCTCTGTCTCTCCCTCCTTCCTTCCTTCCTTCCTTCCTTCCTTCCTTCCTTCCTTCCTTCCTTCCTTCCTTCCTTCCTTCCTTCCTTCCTTCCTTCCTTCCTTGCCCTTGCAGATGTGCTGGGCTTATTCCTGGCTTTGCACTCAGGGGTCGCTCCTGATAGGATCAGGGGACCATATGGGATGCTGGGGATCAAACCCTCCCTGCTGTACCATCACTCCAGCCTCTGTTCCTCCTCCTCTGCCTGCGGCCTGAGGCTAACTCACCCCCACTGTGCAGGAGCCTCTCAGCAGCCCCCCCACCAGCCAGCACCCCTGGCTTCTTGGAACCCCAGAGGAGCCCATTGAGGCTGCCCCAGACTTGCCCTGGCGGCTATGCCCTCTCCCCAGTGAGACCCTCACACCTCCGCTCCGTGCCCTCAGAAATCTTTGGCACCCTAGCTTGAGAGGGCTCTCAAGGACCCCCAGGCTGCACGACTCTCCTGGCCACCCTCCCTCAGGCCTCACCCTGCTTCCTCTCTGGGTAGGCTCTGCCCTCCATCAGCACACCCAGGCGACTGTCCAGGTCTGAAAGGGCCCCCAG